TTTTTTTTTTTTTTTACTGTTCATCATCTCTGTTGTGAAGAGAAGCAGCACATATCAGGAGGCCCTGGAGCATATAACGTGCAGGTGAAACTAACAGCAAGACTGTGGTTTTATTTTTTTATTTTTTTTCAAGCTGCCTGAATGCTTTGTGGTTTAAGCACATTAATGACAGCATGGCTGCAGTGGAAATCTCTAATGTCAACAGGTATTCGTCTGCTTTTTTGTGGGGGGTTATAACCTGATTGTAAACCAAATTAGACCTATTAACCTATCTCTGTAGCTGTAGCTCCAAACTTGACCCAGCTGAACTGACCCTTGAGACTGACAGGACGGGCTGCTGTATGTTTTGCTGGAGAGGACACATTGGTGTGTTCAGATGGCCTGCAGGCATCTGTGGCTGGGTAACTGTCCTCCACCTTGCTTGGTGAGATACGGAGACGTCTTCTACTGCCTTAAAACCCAAATGACAGGCATTGTCTTGGAAATAAAACAGTCTGATTAGCCTTCAGTTAGCTGTCATTGCTGTAATAAAATGCCAACAAAGACACATCAGCCGCCACTTGTCGTTGTTGTAACGTAGGCCCGTTGTCTGCAGATAGTGACCAGATGTTTGGAGATTATTATCCACTTATTGTGTCATTGTTTCGCCTTCATTCATCTTATTGAAATCCAATATTGTTATGCAAGACGGATCTGTAATACGTACGCTGTAAATCACAGAAACCCGTCATGAGTCTCACTCCATTGGTATGTTTAAAGTGAGGCGCTGAAAGCCCCTCGCTGGTGCACATTTTAATTTATCAGGTTCCTCGTCTGATCATTTACAACAGAGCTTATCTGGAGCGGAAGATAAGGTTTACTTTATCAAAGCATTGCTCCTTTCTCACACCAGTGCCAACGAAGTGTTGTTGCAGATAAACTTGGAAAACAGTTTTGTTGTGCCACAAAAAAACAAACAGACTTGACAATAGTAACAAAATGGGCATGTTTCCTTATCTTCACTGTGCGTCAAAAGGTTTAACTGGCTGAATAATGGTTAATCCAAAGTCTATAATGCCTCCATTGTGAATTTGGCTCCCTCTCTCTGTATCATACTCTGAGTTAGACAGATAAAACTCTTGATGGATTGGGCCCAGGTCACCCAGGTTAAAACAGTTTTTTTTGTTCTTTTAAATAGCCCCGAGCTGTCTTGTGCCACAGTTCACCTCAGCCTGGTTTCCTTGATGGTAATACCTGTTTAAAACTCCAACGAAATGTTATCTTTACTTCCTTAAGGTGATGCAATCCTGTGTTAACTGGGGGACACGGCGAGGAATCATCCTGAATTGTTGACCACTGGGATATCAGTTGAGGAGAAATCGACAGTTTGGATTTCATACGAGGGTTAGAAGAGTTTAACGTCAGGTATACGCTGAGTGTTTGTGTTTAATGACTCCTGAACAAACGTATTGTTTGAGTATCACTGCAGCTGTAGGTGTGTTTGTCTAGGGACGCTTTATACCAGATAGGGAATCTCTTTTGTTTTTTTTTTCTTTCCTCTTCCTTAATATTCCTGCTTGTGTAACGGTATAAGTGCACATTTCCTCTCCCAACCTCAGCAAGTCAAGTCCTGAAGTGAATCAGATGCTTTCTTTTTCACTTGGGGCTAAAGGGACACAGAAATATGGTAGAGCAATGTGTGAGCAATGTGTGAGCAATGTGTAAACAATGAAGATGTTGACATGGGCTGAAGAACACGTGTTTAGTGACTAAGAACTCGTGACATTGCTGAAGAGTTCCAGGTGATAGTGTTGAGCAAACCTGTGACAAAATGTTGTCATGTAAAGAAACGAGCCGGTGTATCATCAGTCAGTGTGAACGGGCCAGTTTGTATTTTAATAATAATACAATAATAATACATTTTATTTTAA